TGTTACTAGAAATTTACCTCTGCATTAATCCTATCCCCTTGGGGAGCAGTGGGCTGCCATTGTGCGGCACCTGGGGAGCAGTGTGGGGTTAAGGGTATTTGCTCAGGAACCCACAGTGCAGGCTGTGGGGATCGAATCGGGTACTTGCAAACTTCTCAGCACAGCACAAGCTCACTGCTCGAACCACTACGTCAAGATTCTGTTCTGTTAATAAATTATTGTATTTTAGATAGAAGATGTTTATGTGTATTCTGTAGGTTTTTTTTAAGCCCTGAACACACTAAATCTGAGTTTGCATCCAATTCAACAGAAAATCACATGGGACGAGGCTATTTTAGAGCTCATTGAAAGTCAATGGGGATGAACAAACCCGACACGACTTCCTGCATCATTGCTCCAACCGCAGCTGTAACTTCCTGATCGACTGGGATGGACATTTCCCCACCAACTTTGGCATGGAGGGGAAAGTCCCCACCAATAATTTACGCTTTTATCCCCCTTTCTGATGATTTACTTCAGCCAACAGTAACTGGGGTTGGGTGCAGCTAACTGGTCAGCACATTTTCAGTACGTGTTTTTTCCTCGCTCTCCCGCTGCTCTCGAGTCGCTGCATTTCACTGCGTACAGAGGCGCTACGTAGCTGGATGGAGGAGAGACACAGGAGAGACACAGCCGCACTCAGTGAATTTTAACTGGCAGCTACTTCGATATATGTTTTAGTAAAAGTTGGGAGACTGGTTGGTTAAAAAAAATTTGAGATACCACCGAAAAATCGGTTTGTTACACATACGGAGCTTTTTCAGCTAGAAATGGCAACAGAATTTACATTTATATAAGTTTAAAAAGCTGGGCTTCTCAGAGGACCGTTACTCAGAGTTACAGATTAAAATGAACATATCAGACTGCAGAGCTTCTACATATCTTGAAAAAAATTTTCTCTTTTATATATATATATAAAATATATATTATTATATTGGTAGACAGGTTCATAAATCTGTCTTTAATCAGAGTAGAGACACAATTAGGGAGAGTTGCAGATTTAAAGGTGAAACAGATTTACTGGGATATGCAACATGCAATAAAATATATCTCCAAGTTTACAAAAAAAATATGCAATGTTATAATAAAATTCAACATATCTTTTTGTCTTTTGGACACAGACTTAAAATTAAAATATAAGACACCTACAAGAATTAAAGCACAAATAATACAAATCAGTATTATTATTATTATTCCTCTCCGCTGTCACTCCAAGCATGCTTGGTGTGAGGGATTGCTGAAGAGTAAATGAGTCGATGCAATCAGCTATTTTTCCTTAGATAGAAAATGTTAAACCAATCAGATTCCATGATCTGTTTGAATTGTCTCTGTAAAGTGCCTTGAGATGACATGTTGTGAATTGGCACTATATAAAAAAAATGGATTTGAACTGAAAAACGTTTTTTTTTTTTATTTGGTCAGGACACAATTGAATAAAACTCCACCTCCTGGAAAAGATCACAGTTCCATAATGATGCGTAGAATTGCTTAATGTGAGAATTCGATCAATTTAGCTACAGATATTTTATATTTCCCAAACTGCCAGCATGGCTCTGTTAACACATTACTAGTACTGACCTGATTGGTCATACTATGGCGTATAATGACATAGATTCTGTACACACTGCATTTTATCCTAAAAAAGTTCACCTGCCAATATCCTAACTTCTTGTGACAAAATCCTTTTTTTCTACACTTTCTTTCAGTAAACATTGAAGGGAAATGGATGCTAGTGGATATCATGATAGCTGAGTGCTCAATACCATTTCTTTTCCTCCAGGCATCCACTACATGTCTTTTTTGGCAGCTCAGAGAGGGGCTGGACAGGTACATGTCAAAACTGCAGTGATCAAGTGGTGCAAATACAGATTTGCAAAAAAATTCAAAAGATCCTGCAAACTCCGAAATTAAACTAAACTCAAAAAGGAGACTAATACACTAACACAACAATATGCATACAATGAAAAAGTGCTACAAAAGGAGACATGCTGCCATCTCAGAAAATAGAGAGCAGATAAGTGAAAATATGCTGCCAAAACATGAACGATGCAGCAAAGAAATGAAGCAAATAGCAAAAACACAACAAGTTAATGGAAACTCTAAGACCACTAGGGGGAGAAGATTAGCAACTCATGTAGTACCAGAACATAGATATTTCTACAAATTAGTTCCAATGAATTAATTCAATGGACAATAGCCCAGTATCGGGATCTGCAGGTTAAAAAAGAACCCAAAACGACTCCTAATTCCTAAGGGGCGCACCCGTTCCTCTGATTCAATTAACATGTTTTCTAAGTCAAAACAAGTTTTTGGGCTATTATGTAAAGCTTTGAAATCAACCCTAATTCTGACATTTTGAATTGAAAAAGCTTCCTGGACGGGAAGCGAAATGTCTTCAAATTTGGAAACACAGTCCAGTTGATTGTTTTTTTTTTTTTACTTTTTTGGATTGGAAGCCATCCAGAGAACATCTGGCAGGAGGAAATAAAAGGTTACCCCTCCTTCTATTCTTTTTTAAAGACTCTGTCATGTTGGGTTTCAAATGTCTTGCCCACATGCAGAAAACTACTCAGAGGCACGGGAAAAGTTAACAATTTATTGAATGTGACAAAAACTCAGAGAGAGATAATACAGGAGATTCTCAGCTGGGAAGTATCCAGCGGTCTGTTAAACCGGCACCGGAAACTCTAGAGGGAGATCAGAAATGGTCCATAGGAAAACTGGCCGAAGAAGATGAATCGCCTAATTTGACTTACTGAAAATGGTATTTGGTTGATCCTTGGGTCCAGTTTGTGGGGAGGATGTCCAGATATGGAGGTACTTAGTTGGAGGGCGGACAGGCAGACTTTTGGTGGGTCCAGAGGAGCAGCGGAGCGGACTGTCTCAGATTTTCTTGAGGAGGGCTTGAACTGATCAGGTGAAGGTTTCCTCTTGCTCAGAGAGACAAATATTTCCTTCCAAGGGGTAGAAGGTCCAGGCTTATCCAGTGGATCAGGAAGTCATCCCGATTCTGGCAAACACTCTGGCGTCAATGTGATGACAGTCCGCTGCTTATATACTCCTCTGGAGGTAATGACCAAACAAGCCACAGGTGTGGGCCGTCGACACCAGGAAGAAGGCCTCCAGGCCAACAGAGAACTAGGGCACCATCTAGTGGATGGCAAAGGTACTAAAAAGAAGAAGAACACAAAGCAACCCCCCACAAACAGGAACCCTAACACTCTGGCTGTGTCCAAAAGTGCACCCTATATGATTATATATGTGTGCAGATGTATCCCAAAATGCTTTGCAAGAGCTCTCTTGCAAAACATGTTGGGATTTGTTTTGGGAAAGAGAGAGAAGAAAAATAGCTTAGGCATCATGTGAGAAGCTAGAGTCACTTGACATGTGGAGTTACATTGCGAGGCGGAGTTACGTGACCAAAGAGGAGCAAAAAGTAGTGATCATCTGTCCAAATGGTCAGATAATTGAGTTTACTATAAAGTCCAAAATATAGCTCCCGCTCTGTACTGGCTGTGCCCAAATGTCCACACTAACTTCTAAACCCCTCAATCACTGTATAGAGTGGGGAATTATAGTGGACTTTATAGTGAACTTAGGTAACTGATTGTTCGGACAGATAATCACTACTTTTCGCTCCCCGTTGGTGACGTAACTCCGCCTCCCCACACGCTGCCTGCACCATCTTTGTTATTTGTTGCTGCCCCAAAAAGTCCCATGTTGCTCTCAGAAAGCGATCTGGGATATATCTGCTTGTCTAGAGACCATAGATGATCACAACTTTTCAAGATGCATTGTGGGAAATTTCGAGTCCACCAATTTTTCATTCGGACACTCCTTTAAAATGGCATAACCGTTATATAGTGATCAGGGCGGACATTCGTACACAATGTTAGTCACTCTTAACATCTCCTTTACTAAAGGTCTGGTCTCATATAAGTTGATGAGCGTCTCCCCCTGGTGGTCTGGAGCTCTTCTGCTATTTTTTGCTAGTTTGTTGTATTTAACCTGAAGACATTTTTTCTACTTGCAATATTTTCCTTTGCATCTGTTTTATTTATTGGCCCCTTTTTGTTTTTGTTATTCTCATTATTGAGTTTTCAGAACCCTTAAAATTTGCAATGAAATTCACACATTGTTTGCTCCCTTCAATCACCAAGAAAACATCCATTGACCACCACTGGAAAAACAACTGTGCTTTCAAGTCCACATGGAGTGTGGATAGACTCCCCATTCACTTGATTATGCATGAGTATTTGGGACCCTTACAGTAGATCTCTTAAACAGTCAGTCACAGATTTCCGGCATATTCTGACATACAGATGCAAATAAGCAAAGAACCTCAGTCTAAATAGTCAGAAAGTAACAATAGTCAGTTTGTTGATTTTAAAGATTAAAAAAAAATCTGAAAAGCAATATGTTGTTTCTAAAGGAAAACGAGCTTTGTCAAAATATTGCAAAAACTCAAAGGAACATATTGGGTTTTTTTGCCTGAAGTGATTGACAAAAGATTTTCTTACAATCTCAGCATATCCTGCAGTCAGTAGCTGTATTTGTGGTCCCAATAATATCTTTTGAACATTTAGTGAGACATTGTAATTTAAATTGTATGGAATGGGGAATGTTTCTCTGGGTTTTGTTAATATGTCTGTTTATCTTCTGATAGAGTTCAAAAATGTTTTCAGTAAATTCTGAGAAAATATGCTAAATCTAGAAGCTAAACTACCTAAGGGTTGGTTATTGCTAAAATAAAATAAATGTGAAATGTTTGGGATCAAATTTTAGTTAATATATGAGTTTGGATTTTATTGATAAGTAAATACATTTGAACTAACTTTCAAAACAATTAGGGAATATGGATAGTTTTGAGGTCAGTGCTCAAACTATAGAGATCAGTATAACTATATGAGATCAGTATGTTGGTCCTGAGAAAATAACAATTTGATGCATTTTTCCGACAGCCTGTGGAAAACCTAGCAGAGAAGGATTCAGGAGTGCTGTTGAGTGCCCAGACCATCACCTCTGAGACTGTCAGCACCACCACCACAACCCAGATCACCAAGGTCTGTGCATATCATTTACCGCCCCAAATGCCATAACACAAAATGGATTTTACTAAGAGATAATAGAAGTTCATCACTTAGAAAACTGGTCGACTAAACTTCGTCATAGCTAGAGGTCCAGGTGTGTTCTAAGTATACATAACAAATTTCACAAAAATAATTTCCTTCTTTGCTAATAAAATGTTTCCTACAAAGCAAAATAGAGCTCCCATTTTTGTAAACAGTGCTTGAAGTAGGCGCCTAAAGTCTAGTGAATTCACTGGAAGTCAATCCCAAACTCAAGAGTTTAGTCCCAATGGGAGATAGATGAAGTCATATTAAATCCACTGACCTCAGGTTTAGGCCTCCTCCAAAACCTTCCCTATGATTTTTTTTTGTGTTTGTTTTACAGAACTTAGTATACGTTTTGTAAAACAAGCATAGAGGATCAACTAAAAACAGCAAGCAGGGTTCATGCTTATTTAAACAATGTTTTATATAATGTTCAATCTAGCAGATTGGGAAGAAATTAGTAATGGGGTCTTTCCCAACTGCACCTCGGTTTTAATACATGAGCAGAACTTTAAATTTTTCTACCAAATTTCTGATGAAGATTCTCAGTCATCCAGGTCATAGTCTTTCCGTAAAAGTAAAAAAAAAAAAAAAATTCCACTGGACTTGGTTTCCAAGATTTTAAGACGTTTCTCCATCTCTCCAGGAAGCTTTCTCAATTCAAATGTCTGGATCTGCAGTGAGTTCGAGTCTTTATATAGACAAAGCCTCGTATTGCTTGGAAACATGCAAATGAAACCGATGAATGGTGGGTCGTTTGGTTCCATCGTTAACCTGTAATACCTGAAACCTGTCTATGATTCTGAGGGTCGGTCGTTAAAGGGAGGGGGGGGGGTGGATTATCGTTAAAGGGCGGGGGGGGGGGGGGGGGATTGTCGTTAAAGGGGGGGATTGTCTCCTCTAATACCTGAAACCTGTCTATGATTGTTAAGGGTTGGTCGTTAAGGAGGTATTGTTCATGGGCTGGAGCGGGTATGTGCTTCGTTCCTCTGTGATGGGGTGGGGGGTGCGGTGATATCTGGAAGGGATCATGTCTATGATCTAATTGTACGTTTTTGACCTCTGTTTAAAGTTGGTTTTTCTCTCTTAACATAGATGGCTTCCTTCACGCCCCTCTCAAACCACCTATTTTCTTTACACAGAATATGAACATTCTGGTCCTCAAAAGAATGTCCTTTGTCCACGAGGTGTAGGTGTTCTGCGGAGTCCTCTGGTCAAGACTCCGCAGTACTTCCTGGAGAGGTAGCGAAATGTCTTTAAATCTTGGAAACCAAGTCCAGTGGATTTTTTTTTTTTACTTTTACGGAATTTTCTACCAAACTTATTATGCACCTTTGTACCTTCGGAGGATGTTTCCTGATGCTTGCTGGTGAGGATTCTCAGTCATCCAGGTCATAGTCATTCCAAAAAAGTTAAAAAACAATCCACCGGACTTTTTTTTCCAAGTTTGAAGACATTTCGCTGAGTAACGACCCCATTCCAAAGAGGAAGACCCACTTGTCATCTTAAATTTGCATGTTTCTAAGCCAAAAAAAGGCTTGGTTTGGGTCCACTCTATAAAGCCTTGAACTCAAAAGCTTCCTGGATGGGAAGCGAAACGTCTTCAAACTTGGAAACAAAGTCCAGTGGATTGTTTTTTTTTTACTTTTTTGGAATTTTTTGATGCTTCAGATCTTTGTCATACAGGTGCTGGTCATAAAATTAGAATATCATGAAAAAATAGATTGATTTCAGTAATTCCATTTAAAAAGTGAAACTTGTATATTATATTCATACATTACATACAAACTCATATATTTCAGATGTTTATTTTGTTTAATTTTGATGATTACAAATGACAACAAATGAAAATCTCAAATTCATCATATCAGAAAATTAGAATATTACTGAAGACCAATAAAAACAAAGGATTTATAGAAATGTTGGCCAACTGAAAAGTATGAACATGAAAAGTATGAGCATGTACAGCACTCAGTATTTAGTTGGGCCTCCTTTGGCCTGTATTACTGCAGCAATGCGGCGTGGCATGGAGTCGATCAGTCTGTGGCACTGCTCAGGTGTTATGATAGCCCAGGTTGCTCTAATAGTGGCTTTTAGCTCTTCTGAATTGTTGGGTCTGGTGTATTGCATCTTCTTCTTCACAATACCCCATAGATTTTCTATGGGGTTAAGGTCAGGAGAGTTTGCTGGCCAATTAAGAACAGGGATACCATGGTCCTTCAACCAGGTACTGGTAGCTTTGGCACTGTGTGCAGGTGCCAAGTCCTGTTGGAAAATGAAATCTGCATCTCCAAAAAGTTGGTCAGCTGCAGGAAGCATGAAGTGCTCTAAAACTTCCTGGTATGTGGCTGCGTTGACCCTGGACCTCAGAAAACACAATGGACCAACACCAGCAGATGACATGGCACCCCAAACCATCACTGACTGTGGAAACTTTACACTGGACTTCAAGCAACGTGGATGAAGTGCCTCTCTTCTTTTCCTCCAGACTCTGGGACCTTGATTTCCAAAGGAAATGCAAAATTTACTTTCATCAGAGAACATGACTTTGGACCACTCACCAGCAGTCCAGTCCTGTTTCTCTTTAGCCCAGGCAAGACGCTTCTGACGCTGTCTGTGGTTCAAGAGTGGCTTGACACAAGGAATGCGACAGCAGAAACCCATGTCTTTCATACGTCTGTGTGTGGTGGTTCTTGAAGCACTCACTCCAGCTGCAGTCCACTCTTTGTGAATCTCCCCCACATTTTTGAAGGGGTTTTGTTTCACAATCCTCTCCAGGGTGCGGTTATCTCTCTTGCTTGTACACTTTTTTCGACCACATCTTTTCCTTCCCTTCGCCTCTCTATTAATGTGCTTGGACACTGAGCTCTGTGAACAGCCAGCCTCTTTAGCGATGACCTTTTGTGTCTTGCCCTCCTTGTGCAAGGTGTCGATGGTCGTCTTTTGGACAACTGTCAAGTCAGCAGTCTTCCCCATGATTGTGTAGCCTATAGAACTAGACTGAAAGACCATTTAAAGGCTTTTGCAGGTGGTTTGAGTTAATTAGCTGATTAGAGTGTGGCACCAGGGGCCATCAATTTTGAACCTTTTCACAATATTCTAATTTTCTGATATGATGAATTTGAGATTTTCATTTGTTGTCATTTGTAATCATCAAAATTAAACAAAATAAACATCTGAAATATATGAGTTTGTATGTAATGTATGAATATAATATACAAGTTTCACTTTTTAAATGGAATTACTGAAATCAATCTACTTTTTCATGATATTCTAATTTTATGACCAGCACCTGTAAATGCAAGATACATAGGGGCACATTTATTCATTTATTTTGGTCTTGCAATTATATTCAAATTTCCACGAAAGAGATTCACCTGATGATACAAGAGATCATTGGTAAACAGTTCTCACTAATGCAGATAATAAACATTTGCTTGTAATCCTCTTATTTCTGGCTAATAATTGTATACTAATGGGATGGACTGCATCACAGTTGATATGTGGATATCACATATGTGCGATTGCATCATTCGTAAAACTGACCCATGATCTTTATTAAAAGCCGGACAATTCTGGAGGATCTGGAACCCACTGCAATCTTTCTTAGAGAGACTGTACATTTTTTTACTCTTCTTTGTCGTTTTTTTTTTACATTCAGTATATCACCAATTTGGCTTTGTGACAGTTCCTACGTCTTTGAATCATGCCTGGGAATGTCTGTCTGTACTTTGTGAATGTAGGCTGCACCCTTTTTAATGTGGACACTAGTGCTCATGATTGATTTGGGGTGGGTTGTTTTCGTTTAATATTGTTGATGTTTACATTAAGTTACAAAAATAAAAATATGTTTTAAGGAACTTATGAATTAAATCTTTGATTTGCCTGAAAATTTGAAATAAAATGAAACAAAAAAGATTGAAAAACTGTATTAAAAATGTAGTAACTTCTGGTGTGGATTTTATTGGTTGTCATTAATGATGCCCTGCTAATGGAGCAGGGTCTCTTTCCAATGAGGGGCAAATAAAAGCTAATTGATCACATTCATGCACTGTTTTCTACTTTTGAGGCCACAACTGTTTTTTATACTCTGACTTTTGCACATTCATGTTTCATCGTGTTTGCTTGTGAGGTTCAGAATTATGGGAAATTTTCCATATGTGTGTAGAGAATGGTCAAAAAGTGTTAAGACCTTTACATTTCTTCAGAGTTTTTTTATTTTTTGTCCCTATTGGTGTTTAAGATCATCAAACAATATTTAATGCTGGACAAGGAAACACTTATTAAATCACATAAGAACTTCTTTTTAAATAATGATTTAATTAATCAAGTGGATAAAAAGCCGTCTAAACTGATCCTCCACCTTCAGTGAAGTAATTTCACCCAGTTTAAAAATTTTTATTGAAATGATACCAAGCATTATACTTAACATAACATTTGTTATCATTAGCTCATCGTCCACCATTGGTTCATTTGAGGCAAATTCAAAATATGTTGATCTTTTTCAGATTTTCTCACTGTAAAAAATAAAGGATAATCCAGCTGCACGAATGGAATCTATTCCAAAAAGTCTAATTAGCAAACATAATGCCGTTCCATTAGCCAAACACTACTGGACCAAAACTTTACATTGTGCTTCGATCAGATAGGATTATTATTAAGCTTTATAACATTCCTGGTGGATCTGTCCTAAAACAGCAAATAAAACACAAGAAAGCACCTTACACCAGCTGTTATGCATGGTAGAGGATCTGTGAGAATCTTGACCCTTTTGTCCTCTCAAGGGTCCATTGATAGCTTGGCTTCATTGTGCCTGATCTGTGCCAGATCTAAACGCTGTTGTGAGCTAAAAAGAAGAAAATATACCAGATGAGCAAAGACTGAGGATGGTAGGTTTACTGCAAGAACCAGAAGAAGACCAAAGATCCACAGCTCTGTATTCTTACTTCTTGTAAACGGTATAGATCAATGTGGGGATGTCCGTGTGGTAGAAGTTCAACAATGTCTCAATCTTGTGGCTGTTTTCACAATAAAAACAAATCCAGTAATTTATATGATATTTATTTGGCTGTTTGTTTGATTGTGTTCTATGTTCTTTTTGGTTTATTTTAGGGTTTTTTGCCATTTTCCATCTGTCCTTCTCATTTTCTCTGTTTATAATTTCCATGCCCAGTTCTTGCGTAGACACAAAAAAGTTAAATGCTAATATATTATTGCTTAGGTGATGACAAAACTAATTAACTACAGAGTTTCTGCTTATCAGGTGGGTGGTTAACTTTATAGTCTTTTAACCAAGCAGTATATTGGCGTGTTAAATGCAAAGAATTAACACAAACATTGACTGCAAGTCAGTTTATTCATAAATGTCCCTTAGAGCTCTTTGACTCCAACCAGACATCATTGCTTGTAAACTTTTCTCTTAAAACTGAAACAAACAATAAACCTTGATGGAAACGGATTAAAGAAAAAGAACGGTCAGCAAGGAATGGTCAGTTGGTTTAGTTTATGCCTAAAACTAATATGTTTGCGGTGAACTAATTTAGCGTTGATCAGTAAAAAAATTAAAAATAATAATTTTCGTTGCAAGCACTGAGTCTGGGAGCGACCATTGTTGCCCAAATATAGTAGCCCCTCCCTCCTGCCATCTTCCATCAGTGACGTCACGGTGCGGTAAGCCTAGCGCCATTCTCCCCGCTTTACAAGCTAAATCAATGGGAACTACTAGACACATCTGCAATCAACAACAATTATTGAAGATTTCCAGAGGACTTCACCATTGAAATTCACCAGAGCTATAGTGAAACTGACAGTGCCCACGTGCATGGCAGCTGGATGCTGGAATACATCGGGTAAAAGTGAAAAAAAAGAGTTATTCCACCTTTCTGATTCCTGATCCTCCACGGACGGGTTGGTCGTTGGATCGCCAACTTGAAGAGGGAGGATTTGCCATCGAACTTCTGGCCAGAGAAAAAACTCGTAATATGTAGCCAACATTTGGAAGAAGAATGTTTTCAAGATGACTTGGATAATAGCGCGTTGTGACAAACACCAGATACAGCACTGGGACTTGATACACAGCCGATACCGCACCGTGACGTCACAAACCAGTAGGTGGCAGTAGTGTTCTTTGACAAACATGGATGCCTCCAGTAAAGCACATTCACATGAAAATTACTCTGAATAAAAAACACTGATCATTTATTGAACAGGATGGAATCATTTCATATTTAAAGTACTTTTAGAAGTTTGAATTCTGAATATGAGCGGACTTCTCTCTTCTTTAAAACAATAAAACAAATACACCCACCAGTTTAGGTCAAACATCTTTTCAGATGCTTGAAGCAGAAACCTGGTTCAGTCTGGCAGTTCTGTTGTTTAAAGCTGCAGAACTACTTGTTTGGAGAGAACAAGTTAAACCGTTCATGGGAATGTAAAGGTCTTTTAGCAATATGGAAAGGTTCAGTGGAGTGCAAAATAAATATGATGCAAAACGCAGTAGAAACATTAAGTTGTTTCCTATTTAAAACGATTCAGATATTGGTGGCGCAAAAAAAACTTTGCAAGTGTGATGCAGAGTCAAGTTTAGAGTTTAACAGTTCAGTCTGATGGCAGCAGGGGAAAAAGCTGCTTTAGAGCCGGCTGGACCTGCAGCGAATGCTTCCCAGAGGGCAGCATGTTCAAGGATGAAGGACACCACTCTCATTCCTTTCCCAAATCTTTTCCACGTGCATAATGAAGAGACTTTTTATCCACAATGACCCGATGAGATAAACTTCTTGGGACAACACTAGTTCTGACATGCTCCAGGCAGGTGATAATTAAAATAATCCTAACCTGCCTACTGTACTAACATGGCAGCTAGCAACAGAGCGTGGATATGTGAGGTCACATGGGAAGCATGTGTTCCTTCCAGCGGGTAAGGGGCAGGACATGTAAGGACACCAGGTCCAAGCAGCAAGCAGAAAATGTTCTATGTTTTTATGATTAGTGAATACTCAGAAAGCTCATTCACATTTATTCACTTTGGCTGTACACTGCAAAAACGTTCTGAAAGTTAGTAAAAATGTCTTTAAACAAGTGTATTTACCTTAAATTTGAGTAGGAAAATAAGATGATCTGCCAATGGAATGAGCATTTTTACCCTTAAAATAAGATAAATTAGATATTATGCGCTTGAAGTAAGAGACTATAGTCTATTTTTCTTATTTTAAATGTAAAATTTCTTGTTCCATTGGCAAAGAGTCTTACTTACCTGCTCAATCCAAGAAGAAATGCACTTGTTTTAAGAAAAATTTACTTACTTAGATTTACATTTTTTGCAGTGTATGACTTCAAAATTTACTTTGCCAGGAAGTTTATGATACTTCAAATCAGGAGGGAGTTGGACTGAAACAACTTAGAGGTGGAGGAGGATGGGACTAGTTTAGCAATTCTATACGTCTTTTATGTCTGCAAATATATTAGGATGCAGAAGAAGAGACCTGCTCTTTTGACTTTATAGTCATGTATTTTATGAGTAATATGACATACTGTATGTGGAAGATCAGGAGTTATTTTGTTTAAGTTGAATTTCTTTAATTTCAGTTTGATGGCGACAAATTCAATTAGAGTTAAATCTCAGGCAACGCATTTTCACAGAATCTTTTTTTTTAATTTGATGATCAATCAGTTTAGCTGCTGATTGTTCTTCCTGGTGGAAGCATCCACATTCTGCTTAACAGCTGTCTGGGAGTCTTTGTTAGTTTTGTCTCTCCTTTTTTTTTTTTTTTTTTTAAATCCAAAGGTTGCCTAGGGGTAATGAAAATGAATTAATCTAAGTTTATCAGTGTTTTGAGCCTGTGTAAACTCTTTTCTTGTAGACGGTGAAAGGAGGGATATCCGAGACCCGGATAGAGAAGAGAATCGTCATCACCGGAGACACAGCAATTGATCATGACAAGGTGAAAACCGCAAAAATACAGAAAGCAACTGTCCTTTGATTTCTAAATTAAAGTAAAGATACTGACTGATGACAATAAGTTTCGAAATATTTCTGCTTAAAACAAAATGATAATAGATCTCTTAAAGATCCATGGGATAAATATAAGAACAAGAGATTTCGTAGAATAAAAAAAATACCATTTTGTTTCCAGATTATTTCCTGAAAAACACAGAATCTAATCAGGACACAGATTTTGTTTTTTATTACAAGACAACAATAGTTATTCAGTAGTTCCATGGTGGTTCACTTTTTTACTTTAATTTAGATTTTAAGTTCAAGTAAAATGTCTGAGCAAAGTTTGGATTTTCCACAGCTGACTCTCATGGGAGAAGGTTAGCTGTCAGGTGTTTGTTGATTATGGTAAAGCTTAGAAAGGGAAGTGTTCTGCTGCGAGTTAGTCTACACTTATTTTCTTAAAATAAGTGCCTTTCTTCTTGGATTTAGGAGGTAAAAGAGACATTTTGCCAATGGAACAAGACAATTTACACTTAAAATAAGAAAACACAATCATATTGTCTTATTTCAAGTGCATATTATCTAATTATCTTATTTTAAGAGTAAAACTGTTAATTCCATTGGCAAACTATATAATTTACCTACTCAGATTAACCCTGTAATGCCAAATGTATCATATTTGATACATACGGTTTCTGAAATGTTTTGCGTCTGACACCTTTTACATAATTTAATGGTAAAAACTTTGCTCAAAATCCTATTGTACACAATCGGATATACCTGATAACAGCCAGTAGAAGACTACACAAAAAATAATCTTGACTTATCGCATAGTAATAAATTATTACTATCAAAAATGTATTTCTGTTTTTGCTTTTTAAATGTTTTGTTAAAAGGCCAAATAAGGACCTAAAAACCAAAAAAAAAGTAATTTTCTGTTTTGCTTTGTTCTTGGATCGGGCTTTAAATGGTTAAGGTAAATACACTTAATTTAAGAAACTTTTACTTGTTTCTAGATTGTGTTTCTAGTCAAATAATGAGACTTGTTTTGGAGGAGCTGGTGTCAGTTTGAGGAAGAAGTGAGAGCGCTCAGAATGGCTGAAGTTTGCTGTTTTATTGTTTTTGTCTTCTTATCAGCACACAATTCTAGCCCCACAATTATATTTTTTTTCCCAAAATAATCTGACAAAACAGTAACAAAATATAAAGTCGATTTTAATTGGGGGAAAAAATTGGACTGTATTAATATCTACTTGCCGTGAATTTGAGTTTACTTTTGGGCTGCTACTAATGATTATTTAGCAAATCGATGAATCTGTCGAAATTTAAAAAAATGTATATTTTCTTTACAATTTTACTATGATTGCTGCTCCAAGGGGGTCACTCTGTCAGCTGAATACATGTTTTACAGTCTGTATACTCCAGTTAACGATTAATCGATACTAAATTAGTTGATGATTTTTCAATAATCGATTAATCTGATTTATTTTTTGAGCTATAGTTTATTTGTATCACTTTTAGAAATATCTGGTTGTGTGTTCCCAGAATTTAAACTGTTTTCATGAATTTTGGCTACAAGGTTTAAAACTGTTTGATTGATGAAAGCTTTACTTCATGTCTGGAGCTGACCCAGTGTTTTCTGTCTGTTGTCATGGTAACTGTTTAGGCTTTGGCTCAGGCTATTAAAGAGGCAAAGGAGCAGCACCCAGATATGTCGGTCACCAAAGTGGTCGTACACCAGGAAACAGAGATAACTCCAGATTAAGAAGGTAAGTAGTCTAGGTGAAGTTGTAAAGTAAAATCTTTATAATGAGCTTTATTAAGTATTCCTTTTTAGATTGCCTTTCAACATAAATATCAAAATGAATAGTTTGGTATTCATACAGAGGCAGCATAATCTATTTCAGGATCTAGATGTGCTGCAATTAATTTTAACGAAAGCATCAGAATGGGAGAGATTTAGGTGGGATTTAGGTGACTTGTTGTTGGACTATAGCTGCAAGAAACCAAACCAGTGTCAGCTAAAATTAAAAACTATGGCTAGAATATGCACCTACTGATGGCTGCTTCCAGCAGGGTAACCAACTAATAGTTGCATGAATTTGTTACTGAAACGAATAGTACTCTGGAATCCAGATAACTGTAGGCAATAAACTAAAAAATCCAAATAAAAGCCATGGTACTTTTCCTTTGTATTGTGCTGCAACGGACGATTATTTCGGCAATCAATTAATCTGTCAATAATTTTTTTTTTTTAAGTCAGAGAGCAAAAAGTTAAAAAGAAGAACTTTTTACAAAATCAAACCAGATGAAACTATAACCCCATTTACACTAGCCTTTTGAAACCGTGCCGAGAACGGTCCGAGCACGGTAACTGAGATAACTGTTGAGTGTAAATGGAGCATAACTGAACACAACTGAACCAGTGTTAATTTCATCAGCTTTTTTTAATTGAGGCTTAGCCACAATGACAAAAATCAATTTTAGTCTTAGTCACATTTAGTCATTGCCTTCCCAATTAAGTCTTAGTTGTCCTTTTAGTCAACACTGTAAATAAAACAGCTTCTCTTTTTCTCTATTTTATTTATATAGCACTGTGCAGAATAGAATGTTACTCACTGATTCTCTTTTTAATATATATCACACTGCACACATTGAACCTTTTGTCGGCTTGTTTCATCATATCCACAAAGGCTTCATCCTCAAACAGACTTCCCATCTTTCCGTGTCAGATTTGGCTGTGGTGTCACTGTGTCACGTATCTAGTTGGAAGAAATTGAGACGATTAATATCCAGTGTATCAGTAGAACATCTTTCTTCTATGACAGAGAGACAGACAGATACAGACACAAAAAGGCGCACACAGACATCCCCATGCATGTGCGCCTGCGTGCGCACCCGGAACATACGTTCCTGCTACTACAGGCCCACCCGTTCCTTACCTTCTTCCATATGGCAGCATGTTGGCACCTCAGATGCTGCTTGAGATTCGTTGTGTTCTTCCCTGCCATTTTGAAGCCGCAGACTCTTTGGTGGCATCCTTCCTCCGATGTTGTCCTTCGCGTTGTAAACAAAATGGCTCCATACATTTACCCAGCTCCTCCAACAAACCGTACACCGGTATCCGAGCCCCACGCAATAACTGCGAAGTTGAGCTAGGAGTATAAGCCCTGTGCTACTACTGACTGAGCGGCGCAAGGCACAGCGGAACAGGCGCCGTGTGGGTCAAACAGGGCAAATTTTTGTGTGTCATCGTCACGGGAAAAAGGGGCGTTGACGAAATATTTTCGTCATCGTCCTAGTTTACAAAATTAATACTGAACCTGTTAAATATGGAAGTTAGGTCGCCCTGAAGGCTAACCTGACTCCGCCAGATGGATTTGCTCCGCATATCCATCTGGAAACCTTCGGTTGAAGTAATTTTGGGAAGGGGCGAAAATACTGGTTAGCTAATTGGCCTATGTTGGTGGTAGACGGGCCAAATAAACCAATCAGATCAACGTAGCATATGACGTACTAACAGAGCGACGACGAAAACACAACCACAAGCCAGGCTACTCTTGCCGAAACCAGTCGGGAGAAGAGCAAAAACATCTTTTCCTCTGAGAAAAGCCTCCAGAGCAGTGTTTTGCTCTTCTTTCAGTGAAGAAATACTCTGTAATTCCAATAAAACTTGCTCGATAGCCACGCTAACGCTAGTTTCATCGGCTGAAGCCGCCATGTTCTTTAGACTGAACTGTCACGCTTCTCGTTGCGTCACACCTCAACCCGCCTCAAAGCCAACGCTGATTGGACGTTCGTTTGGTGAACGGCTCAAAGTTTTCTTCAACGGAGAGTCTCAAGACTGACTAGCGAGCGAAATCTTGAAAGCTCGCGAGATCAGGATGGTTTCACGAGGCTACCTGAAGGCAGCTGCGCCTCAGAACTTCCCTACCGGTTATTTACCTGGGAGCAAGTTAATTACTACTCTTAACTCAAACTGGGTAAAACCATATAAAAAAGGACTATTAAACAGGAGTAAAAAAGTAACAGCGTTTATTCCAGGTTAGCTGTCGGTATCAGAAACTGACACGCCACTCAAACTGACACTCCAAGATGTGCCCATATCCTGTGTATTTTTAAAGACACGAAGGCTGTCCTGATTAGATGGCATCTGTACACACAGTGACATCCACCACATGAAGGAAGGCCTAATCTGGCTAACAGAATAACAATGCACAGGATGTATAAAGAATAAACCTAACAAACTGAACCACACTAAATCTAGTACTAGTTAATCAGTAGGGCTCGGTTCATCTGCGGCTCAGTTCGCTGATAAAAAAGAGCACATGAGCAGACCGCCATCTCCTGTTTACAGTCAGTGACTCATTCTGCAAGTTTTCCTGCATATCCAGCTTTGCAATTCACGTCTCTTCTCCTGTTCACAACACAAACTTCTTCTCAGCTTATTAACAAAAAATGGCATCAAAAGAGCGTGATGCTACCTGAGATCCTGGCGAGACAGGCTCCTGTTGAGATTTGAGTTGAGGACATTATACAGGCACATAGGTTCCTAAATGTTATGGGTTGCACCATTTTTGTTTGCATAATTCCCGCCTTGAGAGCTGTAGTATCGTGGACCAGATAGGAGGTGAGGAACCATGTAGCGTGATGTGTAAATGATCGTAAGGAACCAAGCTTGGCTCGGTTAACAGATCCAAACTGTCCAAACTCGGCACGGATTGGTTTCAGAGGGCGGGTGGGAATAGAGCACAAAACTTTTCCACTTCTGGATAACACATATTGACAGACAAAAAAGCTTTTATGTTCTTAAATACAACAGTTTTTTTTTCACATTTTTTGGTATAATTACTGCTCAATTACTGCTCAGTCAACTAAAGGCATGTTTTAGAGTCTCTACTCCAGTTAAAAATGAATTGATTACTAAATTAGTTGATGATTATTTTGATAATCGATTAATCCGATTAATTCTTTTAGCCCTGCTTTGTATGTCACAATTTTAACATAACTGGATGAATAAGAGTCTTCTTGCTCAAGACAAACAATTTATCTATGCAGATGGATGTAAATAAGCCTTTCATTAATGGGGCAGGAAGACATTATGTAGGAGGAGCTACTGAAAAAGGCAAATGCTAATGCATAAAGCACATATATTATCCATTAGCTGTTGACACCACCTTCAACAAAGCTACTGTGAACACCCAATCAGACAAGGTCTTTGATTTAGTTAAAAAATAGGTTGTTGTAACTCCTATTATACATGTTTCTTAAAACAGTTGTTGCAGATTGGGAAGCTTGATGAAATGCTCTCCCTTAGCTGCTAAACTAAACACAAAATAAGGCCATAGGCAGCTAATGAAATTGTGAATGCAGGATGTTATCTTCACAGGGTACCACTGATTAGCATCATTTGCACCTGTAGGGACACAGTGGGTGGATGCACAATAGGTGGGTGGAAACTAGTAAACCTGCATCCTTGCTGTTTTTTTTTTAGAATTTTATCACAAATAGAAGCAGTTCCGGTGAATCAAACTGGCTCCGTAGCACATACCAGACAGAAGTTTAGATGAAGGAAAAATAAAGTGTATGTGGTACATTTAAAAAAAAAGGCAATACATGGACGAATTCCACAAACTGAGAGTGGAATACGAACAACGTTGTAAAATTCAGCCAGATTAAAGCGGAACTCACAAAAACTCAAGGGGGTTTTTTCACAGGAAATCAGGCAAAATATTACAATTTTAAGGAAAAACAAAGATTTATTTAAAATAATAATAATAATAATAAAAAAAACTATTACCGAGGAAATCCAAAGTTTAATTCAATAATATTTCAATATAAATGATAAATAAACCAAAAAACCTTCACAACCAGTTTATAAGTAAACTCAAAGTCTCAATTTATATCCGCAAAAAACAAACAAAAACATCGCTAATAACTGAAAGTCCAAAACTGTCCGTCTCTTTTTTCTTCTTATAATAATGTCCCAACAGGAGTTCCATACACTTCGAACCCAAAGTAAAATCCTGGAACCGTTTCAGTCCAAAGTCTTTTGCAAAACGAAAAATCCAAACAGTAAACCCGCCCCAAAAAAAGATTAGAAAAAGAGTGGTACCACCAAAAATCCCCAAAAAGAAAAATAAGGTCCAGATCTCACCGGAGCGTCCTTTTTTCCCCCTGGGCGGCGTCTCTTTGCACCGGGCGGCGTCCTCTGGGTGCAAACTCCGACAATCAGTTTACCTCAAATCTCTGCGGTGATCTGCGGCGCTGGGACAAACTCTGCCCGTGGTTCATCTTTCTTCCTTTATTTTTCGATTTCTTTTTAACGGACAACAAGACAAAATCTCCCGCTGCACAGACCTGTCAGTGCGCGTCTTTCTCACCTGTCGAGCCGCGCGCGCCGATGCACACACCCCTTTTTATTCAAAAATGTTTCCACACCAAAAAAACCCAGCATATTAATTTACATCATCATTTTTTAACCAGTGGAGTTTTGAAATAATTTTATCCAAGACATAACTGTTCTACCAGACAGTATATCATTGGTACAGTTTAAAGTGCTTTATACAAAAGGTGAAAAAATAACATAGTGGTTATGTTACAATCCCCCCCCCCCAGCCGGAGGCAAAGGAGGTTGAACTCCAAAATAGGGCTTTAAGTTAACCACATTAACTATCTCTGTGTGCTGGTCTCTCCACTGGAGCTGATAATTTACTGGGCCTAACTGTTTCCTCACTGTAGCTGGACCTGACCACTTTGGCGCTAGCTT